TCATCTTGCTAAGGATACAGTAAAATACCATTTCAGTCCAATGGTCAGGGTGGAAGGCTACCCTGCCCATGAGTTGAGCATCCTCTCTCAGCCTTGAGTAAGGAGGGTGTCTGGTCTGGCATGATACTCCCCCCGTGCTGTGTGAAGCAAGTGGCCTCCACCTTCACTCAGCAAAGAAGTTTACTCTAGCCCTGGACTTGGGCATTACCCAATGGGATTGGGCAACCCCCGTTTGAAATCTTATCCCCTGACTTATCTGATGAAGAACATTCCATTGAAGCTCCTTTGTGTGTCCCCGCTATAAAAATAAAGAGATTCTGGGTGTACCCTGTCTTGCCTTCCAGCATAGATGAAGACCCTTGAGATTGTGAGCAGTCCCACCCGCGATCTGAGAAACTCATGTTTGTGTGTTACATGATTTCTTCACCATTTTCTTATTTTAATGTTGCAGCCAGCTCCTTTGAACCCAGTTCATCTTGTCAGCGCAGGTCATTGGCTAGAGGTCAGATTTTCCCTGTTTTACCTTAAGCCAACTATGTATTATCCCCATCAATGTTGTCACTGAATGTACACTGTATGCTAACCTTTGTTCTCTGCTTATAAAAATCATCGTACCTATTTTTTCTTCAGAACAATCATTCAGGGAAATTAGCAGCCATGTTCTCAGGCCTACATCATTCATATTTGGATCAGAATAAATTGCCTTTTTATTTTTCTTTAATATAGAGTCATTATTTTGCATTGACAAACGAATTGAGAATTGGAGTAAAGGTCATCTTTGTTATACAATGGCAAAGAACTTGGTGGAATTATGACCCAAGACTTTATGGAAGGCAGAATGTAAGAGCAATGAACTAGGAGATATGGCAGAAGACAAACCGAAGCAGAAAAACGTTTGAGCTGCTGCACAGTCTCTTTTGGTGGCTTACAGTAAAATGAAAGAAGAGATGAAGAATTGAAAAGCAGAGTTTATGTACGATTAAAAGTGGAGAAGGATGAAAATATTCAGAAAACTCTCAGCCTGGTCACGTAAAGTATGAATGAGAAAGATTGTTTGGAAGAGAATGCTAATAGAGTGGCCAAGTGAATATTTGCTACAGAGATTAATACAGGGCCGGGCACAGTGGTGCATGCCTGTAATCCCAGTGGCTTGGGAGGCAGAGGCAGGAGGATCTCAAGTTCAAAGCCAGCCTCAGCAACTTAGCAAGGCCCTAAGCACCTTAGTTAAAAAAGGGCTGGGATGTGGCTCGGTGTTTAAGCACCACTGAGTTCAATCCCCAGCACCAGAAAAAAAGGAGAGATTAATTTGGATAGGAGAAAGTCAAGTTCTATCCATCAAGACAACAGAGGAAAGACTCCATAGGCATTTCAGAGATCTTGAAGACAAGCTAGAACCTTGAGGGCAAGGTTTACAAAGATGTGCCTCTAGGACCTC